CTCCGGGCGCCAGGCTGAGACTGCTATGCATTATCTCCGTTAGTCCTCGTAATGGCCTGCTAAACCATTCTGCAGATAGGGAAACCGAGGCTCAGAGACAAGTTAGCGGATAACCTGTCTAAGGAAGGTTAACTAAGTGCAGTGCCTGGACTCAACGCCAGGTCCATCTGACTCTGAAGGCCAAGCTCTAAGGCGCCCCTGCCTGTCCTCTCCCCGTGCCGCGAGTTCACCATGGTGCTCCACCAACCAGGCCCCACGCTTTGAGAAATAATGATGATTGATCTGGACGTTTAAAAACTAAGCAGGTGTTCATCTCATCAGGTGGAGATGCGATCCTTAAATCCTGCTCATGTATGTCACAAAAGAGGCTCTAAGAATATGAACAAATTGAACCTTTGATGATTAACTTTTACTGTTTTGTTATTAGAACTTTGAGAGTGTATAGTATTTCAAATAGTATTTGACTAGATGCCATAATCTCTACAATAGATCTTTGAGATTTATAACTCTCACGTAGAATAATCAGTTTTTAAACATATAATTTTACTTAAAATCATTAAAAATCCATTTCAATAAAAAAACTGTGATCTAAAGCAATATTACAAGGTACACAAAAATATAGTAGAAAGTCGAATTTTTAAAAAGTAGTTTGATGTTACAAAGGGAGGGCTTTGTTGACATGAGCACTTCTCAGGATGGGAGCTGGTGGGGTGCACATCAGGGTCACCTCCTTCAAAGCACCTGACACTCTCGCCCCTTGGGGACCCACAGTACTGAAGAGTGGGGGCCCCACTGTTCGAGCAAGCTAGAAAAGAAAAGGCTTTGGAACCATGGCATGTGTCTGTGATTCCTAGCAGAGTCTCTTAGAAGTCACTAAAAGATTCTGATTCTCCAAATTCAAGAAGGAAAATGATGAATTGTTCTTTGTTCTTTGGTCATAATCCCAAATTGTAACTGACTAACCCCCAGAACAAGTCTAAACCCTTCCTGACGGACCAACAGCAATGTCACACCAGCGGCCATACTTCTGAAAGCCAGCCAGGCTGCAGGAGCCTCACTCCACCATCCACCTTTCAAGACCAAAGGCCAAACAATCCCTCAACATGCCCACTTCTGAGAGCCTACCGACCCCTGAACCTCACGATGCTCAACAATCTGCTTCATGCAGAGGGACTGTGTTTTGCAGTCTGGCTCTCCCTTGCTTAGCAAGCAATAAACTCAGATATTGAGAGTGGTGGCCTCTTTGTCCAATAGCCAGAACTGATTCAAAATGCAAGAATTATATGCAGTGAAGGCCAGCAAAGGTAAACAGCTTAGAAACATATGCAAACCATGGCAATCTCACTTCTCAGACGAGAAATGTGAATGAAAACCACAGTGAAACTACTGACAGAAGCCCGAAGAGGAAAAAGGACCTTTATATGGTCCCAAATGTCTCCCTGCAGCCATCTCTTATCACCGAGGGAAAAGCTGGGGAAACGAGGCAGATGCCACCTTAGATGAATGATCAACATTAGAATCATGTGCCTCGTGATGTGACGCAGTGATGAAGACTCAACATCCGTGTTGTATTCCCGCCTATAACATACAACCTGAATCTAACCAAGAGGAAGCAGGAGACAAACTCCAGCTGAGGGACATTCTACAAAACAACTAGCCTGCATTCTTCCAAACTGTCAACATCGTCAAAGGCGAAGGCAGAAGAACTTTACAGATGAAAAGACACTCAGGAGACATAACAATGAAATGCAACGTGTGATCCTGGACTGGATCTGCAATCAGGAGGGAAACGCTATAGAGCACATTCTTAGGACAACTGGTGAAATTTCAATGTGGACTATGTTTTAGAGTATTGTATTATATCAATGTTAAATTTCCCAATTCCTAATTGTACTGTGGTTAGGTAAAATAACGTTCTTGTTTAGGAAGTGTTATCTGCTACTAACTCTCAAATTGTTATGGGAAAAAATTTTATTCTCTTGGAGGAGAAGAGGAATGACATAGCCAATGTGGCGAAATGTCAAGAATAGGTGACTATGAAAGAAGGATACATATATGGGTGTTCTTTCCCCTATTCTCGCAACTTGTTGGTTTTTTGAGGTTTTTAGGGGCTTTTGCCCCCTTTTCTTTTCCTTTTTTAGGTGGCTTCAGTGGGGGGTGAGGTGGAGGGAGGGCCAGTCTGATTTACTTGGTCCACAGAACACGGCGTGGAGGTCCCAGATGCACACACACATATCAAATCTTTCTGTTTATGTGACACAGGTATACCACCCGCTGTTCTGCTAAGAACCCGCTGTTCTCAGCTAAGAACATATCTTGGAGCTCTCTGTGCACCATCACTGAAGGGCTTTCTCATTCTTTTTCGCAGCTATAAAGTATTTCATCATTCAGGGAGGCTACAGGCATAGCCAGTCCTGTTAGTGGGCATTTAGGCTGTTCTAGCAAACGCACTACTGGAGTAAATTATTCTGTACACAAGTCATTTCATGTATGTGTGAATTTATTCTGTAGAAGGTATTTCTAGAAATGGAATCACTCAATTCCAAATGGAATTACTGAAAAGGAACATTTGAATTTTGAAAGGTACCAAGACTGTAAAGTCTGTAAAAATTTACCAAAAAAATAACAATCATTGGAGGGGGTGGATGCCGAAGTTTGGGAAGGCTGGCGGATGCTGACGCTTGCTGAAGTGGGGTGATGGGTGCGTGGGGTTCATTTATTCTGTGTTTAAAACTTTCTCCCAAAAAATGGGCACTGCTGATAAAGCAGTACTTAGAAGAAAACGTGTGGCCTTAAATGAATATTAGCAAGGAAGAAAAATTGAAAACGAGCCGAGAACCCATCTCGAGAAGTTGAAGAACAGTAAAATTAACTCGAGGCAAGCTGCAGAACACAACAAAGAGCAGGGCAGACACAAGAATGGTCACACACACAAGAATGGTCACACAAGAGGGGCAGTGCCATCGCTGCCAGGGCTCTGAAAGGACAATCTCTGGTCACTCTTGTTCAAGAGAAGGTTTAAAGAACCAACGTTAGCCAAAAAAACCAGAACATCATTCGGATCCTGCAGTTGTTCGGCATAAAATATCTCTGGAAGGATACATGGCAGTGGTTTCCAGTGGGGGTAGGGAGCTGGTGGGGGCGGGTGGTCAGGGATGCTTTTCACCGTTTCCCTTCGGGTTTCTTTAATTCTGCACCAGACGATCTATCACCTACTCAAAAAAATAAATGATAAAATCAAACCTACAAAGTCCTTTTTCCTTATGGATGGGGCATGATATTCAATTCTGTATTTGCATTCTTACATACAATGTAAACATTCTAACCAGTAACTGACCAAGTCAGTTACCCAGGGCCAGAGCGCTGGGGCTCGCAATGGCAGCACATCAGAATCACCTGGGAGCCCCGGAAAGTCCTAACATCCAGGCTCCACACCAGACCAATTCCATTATCCTCTCTGGGTGTGTCACGGGTATTTTTAAAAAGTTCCCCAGATGATACCAATGTGCGAGCTGGGCTGAGAATCACTGAGCTAGAGAACTGGTAGTTTCAGAGCTCCAAACCAGGTACACAAAGATAACTGGAAATCCTGCGATCTTTGGAGAATGTGCAATGTCGTCAACACGTCATGTGAACTACCTGGAACATGCCAGTCTGGCCCTGCACGCCTGCTCAGCCCATCCGCCACCATCACCTTCTTACTCACGGCTCTGCAGCCACCTGGACGCCATTCAGTCCCTCGGATGTGCCCAGCCTGTCTTCAGGCTTTTGTGTTCACTACCCTCTGCCCAGAACACTCCTGGCTCTTGTCCAAGCATGGCTGCCTCGTCACCACTCAGGACGCCTTCCCTGAGCACCCCATCTGACTGCCCCAACCCTCAGGCTCTTCTACCCTATTTTTATTTTCTTTTTAATAACCATGTTGTCGGAAATTAGCTTGTTTGTTTAGTCTCTTCCCATTAGGACTAAAAGTGAGTTCCCAGAGTTCTTCTTTGCCACTGTCTTTTGTGCCTGTTATACAGAAGGTGGCCAACAAGTGAACTGCTGTTAGTTTGCCGTCATTGTCGGCAGTATAGTTTGTTGTGGGTTTTAGGCTAATTCTATCGTATACAAAAATCTGTATTTGTGTCAACAGAATGAAAGCTCCACTGGGCAGGGAATTTGTTTTTTTTTTCAATGTGGTACCCCCAGAGCCGAGAGAAACGCCTGGCACACAGGTGCTTGTATTTGGTAGATGAAGAGTAGTTCTGGTCCTTTGGTTTTCCGACAGTGAGACTTGACAGAGAGCGCGTGCTGGGACAATGCGTCCCACATTACTGAAGCGGAGCACCTACCACCTCACCCTGGTCGCCCACCGATGCCTCTGTGACTGTGTGGCAATACTTCCCTGTCACAGTTATTTTCCCACTAGAAAACTGACACAGGTGGGATAGGAGGGCAGGCCACAGGTATCACGCTCTACCTAAAATGGGTGAGGTGAATCTTATCACTGCTACGCCATGGAAACCGCCTCGACCTAAGCTTTGTAATCACAAAACACTTTAGGTGCAATGATCTACTTGACACACTCAAAAAGGAAGAAAAAGGAAAACCATACCTAATTAATGATCTATTTAATGCCATGGAAACCTTATTTACTTAGTAGCTCAGAACCTTTAAGCAGCTTGCTTCTGAAACTCGCTTTTTACTCTGCACCGTATTGAACTGGTTTCCTAGCAAACAGGAGGAATCTTAACCACCACTTACATAAAATTCCATAGGCAGCATCAGTTTCAGTCCTGTCTTTAAAATCTGATAGGCAGTCATTTGTAAAGTCATCTTTATCTTTTACTTAGCTTAATATTAAACAAATGGGCTTACCCTACAGCATTAGCAAGATCTTCCCAGTCTATTTCATTAGCATCTTCTACATTTACTTCATACAATCTACGAGAAAAAATAAACATTAAATTTTCAAGCAAAAATCAACACGATGGACATCTTCATGGACTCTCGGAATATCAAGAGCTGGAAGGTGCCAGCACTTTCACCCCGTGCCAGCTCCCTCATTATACCAAACAGTAAGGTCACGTGTCCTAGCCCAAGGTTATTCCAAGGTCACTGAGTTAATGAGCTACAGAGATGGGCTGAGACATCTCTCCTCCTCCTGAGCCCTTTGTGTCTCCCACCAAACCATGCTGCTCTCTCACAGTAAAAAACACAACTTCGCCCTTCAAGACAGACACACAGTAATAGTCTATCTGTACCCACCACTTACTATGTGACAGATGCTGTGTTAAGATCTTTATGTGCATGAATTCACTTATAGTAACCCTCGCCACCAACTGGTGAGGTCAGAGGGATTAGCCCCATTCTATAGACAAAGATATGGTGCTGGCCAGGCGAGGTGGCTCACACCTGCAATCCTAGCACTCTGGGAGACTGAGGTGGGAGGATCACTTGAGGTCAGGGGTTCGAGACCAGCCTGAGCAAGAGCGAGACCCCCATCTCTACTAAAAATAGAAAAATTAGCTGGGTGTTGTGGTGTGCACCTGTTGTCCCAGCTACTCGGGAGGCTGAGGCAGGAGGATAGCTTGAGCCCAGGAGTTTGAGGTTGCAGTGAGCTACGATAACGCCACTGACTCTAGCTGGGGTGACAGAGCGAGACCCTGTCTCAAAAATATAAAAAATAAATAAATAAATAAAATAGGACTGTATCTCCCTTTCTCTTACAATATTCCAAACACTTCGGGGAGGACTCTGCATGGGCTAGGTACTCAAAGACAAAACCAAAGACCAAGCAACAGCTGATACCAACAAACTTGTACTAGAGAGCAGGAGGGCTTTGTCTAAATTATTTATCTCTACTTTCCAATGGATATAAATAACTCTTATCCATATGGAAAGCTTCAAAGACTAAAATAACTACATTTATTGAATACATAGTATGTTTTACACACATCATTTCATTTTATCCATCTGCCAACACTAAGAGGTAGGCACCGTTACAATCGTCATTTAAGATTAATAAACTAAGACTTAGAAAGGTAGGTTGCATGCCCACAGTAACACGTGTAGAAAGTGCTGGAACAGGGATTTGAACCTTGGCAATCTCACTGCAGACTCTGCAGCATTAGTAACTACTCTTTGGCCAGAGAGCAGAACAGTTAGAACAGCGGCCACTTCTATTCCCGCACCTTTCAATAAGGTTGATTTTGGCCCGCAGGGCATTAACTCCACGGTATATATTCCCGCCATTAGTCATCCTCTTGGTTAGAATTTCCATCCTACATTAAAAGAAAGAAAAATATAGTTTACTTTCAGGGGTAAAGTTTCTGTTAAAATTTCCTATATTTTTATCATCTAAACTGCCCTCATTCAGAACCAGTTTCTAACTTTATCATTGCTAACATTTAACACCGTCAAGAATATACCTATTTAAAAAAAAAAAGTGCGAAGGGATAAATAAAATGATAGAAAATTGATGATTATTGAAACTGTATGATGAATACAAAGAGTTCTGTCTGTGTGTGTTATAAAATTTTCATAATAAAAAGTTTAAGAAAGTGAGAAAAAAAGCAGCCTATTAGCTGGTGTTAGAGGACACTATGAAAACTCGATTTATTGTAACTGTTTATATGACAGACAGATACTGCTCTTATTACCACCACTGGCTCTTGGAACACTAAATAAGACAAAATTTAGTAAGTAAATGATTTGATGATTCCTCTAATGCCCAAAGCTAATGGCTCAAGATTGACTGGAGTTCCTAGTGACAGCATCAACCCAATGACAAATATTAAAAAAGCACTTACCTTAAATAGCAAAGTTTGCCACAATCTGATTGACAGACAGACCATTAGCTGTTATATTTACATTTCTGATTACGGAGATACATGACACTTGTGCAGATAATCGACGCTGTTGTTCTTACTAACAGCCACCACGTTTACAGTTTTGAAATGTATCATCTGAGGTCATTTTGATGTTACATGAGGTAAATATATGTTCAGGGTCAAGTTTCCTATTTTTCTCTTCAAAATTAAAATGGAAATCTTACATGTTGTCTTAATTATGTTGATTCTGAAGCGGGGCCACCCTTAATCATAATCATTTCCCTTTTTTAACATTGATGTATCATCCTCCAGTTGAGGCTTATAACTCTCATTCCCTTCTTTTAGCTTAAAATATAGAGGTAGAAAGAGCTTTGGTTCCTCCATATTATACTCCTCTCAAATCTGTTCTTTGGGATTTATTTCTCTGAGTGTAGTCTCACGTACCTACAACAGAACTGTAAGGCACATCAACAGTGTAGCCCAGGAATCTGCTTTTAACATAAAATATGCCTACTCTGGATTTCATTTCTGTTTGATATTGAAAGAGCACTGGGCGTGCTTTGTGCTCAAGGGCTGGTTCAAGGGGGTCACGCTGCAGCTGCACCTCCGGCTCAGCCACCCTCCAGGGCTTGGAAAAACTACATCTGGCAAAGAAAGTGCAGCAAGATCAGGGCTGAAACTATCACTTTGTGACAGATGCAGCTAAGAGCACGACGGCCTCATTTCAGATGAAGACAGAGGAACTGCTGAATTCTAATAAAAAGCAAAATAGAGAGGCAGAGCTGTTACTGATCAGCATGCTCCTGAGTTGTGTTCTGAACATTTGTTTCGTATTTTTTAACGTTGCAAACAGATAACTATCTGCTTTCACTAAAAACTTAGAAAGAGACAGAGTAAAGAAATCAGAAGTCAATATTCAGTATTTAAAAAGTTCAAGTTCTTTATGAGGAAGCCATACACTCTTCAACGAACCAGGGTTAGCTGTTAAATGCTAATTTAGATCAGAGAGGGACACCAGAGCAGCTGGGGCAGTGGGCTGGAGATGATTGTTCTTGACGTGTACACTGTTCACACTGCGGTTACACAGGTATTCTTAGTAACTCACCCCTCTATCCATTCTACAGAAATTGGAGAGAGAGGGAGGGAGGGAGGGAGAGAGAGAGAATGAGAGCATAACTTACCACTTACTTTTACACTGCATCCAATTTCTGGTTTCCACTTTAGCTTCTACTTCTATCCAAGATATGCCCCTGTAAAGTTTTTCCCGAACAATTGACAGGCGACCTTCAGGAGCCTCTTGGAGTCTGGAATCCATCTCATTTAACTCCTCAAGAGACATTTTCTTTAGAATCACTTCTTCAACAGCCTTGATTAGTTTCTGAGTTTCCTTCTTACTCCAAGCACCACGATTTCTTTCTATAGATATAAAAGGATAGTCTTGTAGTTGCTAATCTACCTGCTTTCAAACATGATACTAAAAAAAACCCGAAATGCTAAATCAGGCACTTTTCCCAAGACAATGGTCGACATCTCAATTACACAAAGGTAAAACAATCAAACACAAGTATGTGCAAATTAAAATGAAATTACTAAAATGGTCATGGATTCCTTTTAAGAACCAAAGCCAGAAATTATTAAATAATAAATTCTTTCCTTTTTTAAAATTTTTTTTCTTGTTTTGTACAGACAAGGTCTGGCTATGTTGCCCAGGCTTGTTTTGAACTCCTGGCCTCAAGTGATCCTCCTGCCTCGGCCTCCCAAAGTGCTGGGATTACAGGCATGCGCTACTGTGCCTGACTAGTAAGTCCTTTCTTAAAGCAATGGTTTTTTTAAACTTCAAAAATGTCATTCTTCCTATTTTCGAGAACAATGTCTCCTGCATGAAATTGTGAGATTTCCAAACACTTTCCCTAAACATTTAATAGGAAAAAAAATTATCACATGGTTTTTATGTTATATACATGTCTCCCCACCAAGAGTTCCCAGTGTGAAATTAGCAGCCACAATGACACCAGTGCAGTAGTGGATGATGAAGGCACCTGAGAATTTCTGAAGCCAGTCATCTATGCAGGGTGTCAAAAGCACCTAAGTTCACCCTTCCTCACTAGACACGTGCACGGTCATGCTAAGTAAGGAAAAGCCTCAAATTGGCACCAGCAAATGTCTTTGGTTTGGCCCACAGAGTCTTACATTTTTCCCTCAATAAAAATTTGGATGAATATTTAAAAATTAAGAGATTTCCAAGAAAGAAAAAGGTATCTAGAGTTCATAAAATTTAAAAAGAAATTCCAGATTTTTGTTTTACTTCTTGGAAACTTTGAAGAACTGGCCACAAGGCACACTACCTGTGTGGCTGGAGTATGTGAGCCCCTGTGCTAAATAATAACCCCAAGAACTTTCTTTTTTTTTTTTGAGACAGGGTCTCAGTCTGTTGCCCAAGCTGGAGTGCAGTGGCATGACCATAACTCACAGCATCCTGGAATGCCTGGGCTCAAGCAGTCCTTCTGTTTCAGCCTCCTCAGTAGCTGGGACTACAGGTGCATGCCACCACACCCAGCTAATTTTTCTATTTTTTGTAGAGATGAGGTCTTGCTATGTTGCTCAGGCTGGTCTTGAACTTCTGGTATTAAGTGATCCTCCCACCTTGGCCTCCCAAAGTGCTAGAATTACAGGTGTGAGCCACCGTGCCTGGCCAGGACTGTCGTCTTAAACTAATTTCAGATGCTCTGATGTGAAGAATAAAACCAAGGAAACTTTTTGGGAAAGAGGGACAGAGGTTACCAACATAGGTTTTGGGTAAAGCTGCCGCCTAACAGGCCAACTGAGCCCCACGCCTCCCTCCCAGAGCCTCCCGGGCCACCGTGGAAAAGTGACCAGCCCCACGTAGGCTATCCTACGCTCAGTCCTAGGGTATTGGTCCACTTGGCGGTTACATTCACACTGAAAGTTACTTAAGTTCATAAGTTACTGAACTGCAGTAAAAATCAGCCTGGTGGATAAAGGTTGCATGATTTCACTGAACACACGAGGAAACAAAATGGATTAGTACAGAGAATGGCTTAAAAAAAAAAAAACGACGATTTTGTCTGAAGACAGGCCTGCAGTGATTTCTAGCTCAGTTGTGGGCTAAACAAGGCCTGTTGGGCTTGTCCTTCACTGAGGGGGGCGCTTGGGACCACCACTTACGAGTGCTGATCTGAGAGAACTTCAGGGCCACTGAGAGGCTACTTCGGGCCACCATTTCACCAATCTTTTTCCAGTCATTGCCGTGGAGGGAATGGTATCTCTTTAACTTCTCAGTATCTTCTTCGCTATACCTACGAGAAGGGAAGAACGTTTTCCAAGTTTGAACTATGAGATTAGAAGTGGTGTTCCCGTAGCAGTATGGCAGTCATGGGAAAAGCTACATGAGACGGGCCGTCAGGAAACCCGGTTCCAGCAACAGGCCTACCAGTGACCGGAGCTCTGGGCATTTCCTGTCTGCATCTCGGCGGGGTCATCCTGTCAGTCAATCACCAGAGTCACAGGCCAGACGTCTGGCTCAGTCACATAGCAACCTGAGCAAACAATCTCTTAGCCTCTCCTTGCCCAGAGCCTCTGTGCCTGGGCGGAAATGGCCTTCCTCCCCCCGCCCCCAGATGCAGTTTAAACAGCACAGCGTCAGGGAGCGCCTCCCTGATGGCCTCAGCCTACGGTCCCCGTTGTTCACTCCTAGAGAATATGGTGTTTCTCCTTCATAGCACTGTCCCGACCTGCAATGACACACGCACACACCCTTCCTCTAGACTAGCACTCCCAAAGAAACACCATGTGAGCCACACGTGGATTTTAGATTTTCCAGTAGTCATAGGAAAATTCATTTTAATTTAGTTTTAATGAAAGTAATTTTAAGAATATATTTCATTTAATCCAATGTGTTAAAAAATGATCTCATTACAACACATCATTCGTATCAAAAAGTATTAAAAAGATACTTTACATTCTGTTCTTCACACCCAGCCTTCCAGATCCAGCGTGTGCTTTGCTGTCACAGCACATCTCAGTTTGGACTAACCACATTCCAGGTGCACGACAGCCACTCGGCTGGTGGCCACCCTGCTGGATGGCACAGCACTAGGAGGGAAATCTGATAAGGGCAGAGACCTTGTCAGCTCTGTGCACCGTGGCATCGATAATGCTTGGCAGCCGGGCGCGGTGGCTCACACCTGTAATCCTAGCACTCTGGGGGGCCGAGGCAGGTGGATCGTTTGAGCTCGGGAGTTCAAGACCAGCCTGAGCAAGAGAGAGACCCTGTCTCTACTAAAAATAGAAAGAAATTAGCTGGACAACTAAAAATATATAGAAAAAATTAGCCGGGCATGGTGGCTCATGCCTGTAGTCCCAGCTACTCGGGAGGCTGAGGCAGGAGGATCGCTTGAGTCCAGGAGTTTGAGGTTGCTGTGAGCTAGCCTGACTCTTGCACTCTAGCCTGGGCAACAGAGCAAGACCCTGTCTCAAGAAAAAAAAAAACAAAAAACAATAATGCTTGGCAGGCAACAGGCATTCAACATACATGCAGCAAACAGCTTAATATAAACGTGTAACTATGTAAGGAATTTAAAGTGCATTCATCCTATATAAAAACAAAGTACTATTTCCTGGCAAATTAATAAACTTCTCTTTCCTTCTCAAAAAAAAAAATAAAGTACTAAAAAAGCACTACTATATTATAAATCTATTTTGAGATTAAACACCTTAAATATTTAGGTAAAGAAAGACCAATCTTTATAACATCCTAAGATTCCTAAACTGTAATGCAGGGGGTGGGGAGCGGTGGTTCACCAAGGCAACAACAAAAACACTCTAGTAAAATACCATCAATTTCTGATGGTAGCGATCTATAACTACTTCAGGACAATAACATCCTCTCTTTCTCAGAAATTTATCTGTGAACGCAGAGTGTGCTAAATGAAGACTTGTTATTCCTCACTATTAAGAATCATGGGGATCAAAAGGGAATACTTTGTAGTAGTTTTCCTCTCAAGCAATCTGTCTTTTTGAGATTAAAAAAAAAACTTAAACACACCCTTAAAGCAACAGAAAAGAGGAAGTAAGAGAGAAATCAAGCGTCCCCAAATAGGGAAACAGGTGCACTGAGTTCCCAAGCCCTCCAGAGCCTCAAAATTCTTTTATTTTTGACTTTCTACTTTTTTTCAGTCAAGAATTCCTTAAGTTGGAAAAATATTCTAAGGGTAAATGATCACCACAACACAAGTAACGCAGCACAAATGAATGAACTTTTTATGATCAGAATGACCTTTATTATTCTAAAAATGTCATTCCCCTATGTGTGTCACAGGTAGAAAAGTATGTTATCTCAGCTGCCACTCTTAATTCACCAAAAGCAAATGTCATTTGAAATGTCACCTTTAGTGGATTTTCTTAAAGTTCTGTTCACAACTGTCTAACCGTGGGGTTTGGGAAAAAAGGACAGGGCAGGTCTCAGTCTGTGTGTGTGAAATTTCCTCACCTAGGGTTCATTTCTTTCCTTCTTTCTTTCTTTCTTTTAATTAATTGAATCTGCCTTGATCTTAGAAGTTGATTTCTTTCTATAAAATTTTAAAAAAGAAACAAGGTCAACTCAATGTCAGAAGTTCAGGGAACATGTATGTCTTGGTTTAAAATCATATAGTTAAGCAGAACTCAGCTGACGCTGCTACAAGATTTACTGAACTTGCCTCCCAGAGTGAGATCAAGGAGTTGAGCTGATGAGCTGTTTACCAGGCAGGCAGAGATGACAACTTCCTGCTGACACTTCTGTCCCTGAGCAGGGTGCTAACCCACAGCCAACACTTCCTCTGTGCCTTGGTTGTTTTTTTTTAGCTTGCAATGTTGGAAACAAATTATAATTGGATATTTATTTGGAAAAAAGGGGGGAGAGAATGCCAACCACCACATTGAGCACTGTGGATCGACAGTGCTGAACGGCGCTTCCATGAGGGAACACTAGTGTTTACCGCCACCTGCAAACACTTACTGAAAACCCAAAGAATTGTGCTGAGTGCTGAAGGGAACATCGTGTCAAGCAGAAATGCTTAGATTTACTAGGAGCCTACAACGTAGTAGGGAGCAGAGAAAACATGAGCAATAGCAAGAGAGGCAGAGTGTGTGGAGGGCTAAAACAGAAGTAGGAAGAAAAAGCTGAGGATTTAGGGAAGAGAAGATTACGAAAGGTTTACGAAAGACATGGAAATTGAAATGGGCCTTGAAGACAGACATCTGGCAACAAATATACAATCTAACTTCACACATAAAAATCTTCATTTTTACTTCCAATCCATTGCTGTGGATATTTTGATTTATAGTGTCACCAAAGACAAGAGAAATGTTTTGTCCCAAGCTGCTAAGGCTTTTTTCTTACCTGCCTTTGTAATTATTGATATCGAACATCTTCTTTGCTCGATAATATATTAGCTTCCAGGGTCGGGCAATGCCTTTACCTAAAGTCAGAAGTAAGGCAATCAGAGGGGCTTGCAGAGCCTGGCACCAAATGAAGTCACAATTGTAAAAGAACCCAGAACAGCCCTTTTAAGCAGCACTAATTATCCTAAACCCCAGGTTATGGTCGGGATTTCATGTGTCCTGCAGAAAGCTGTCTTGGAGAGCAGAGGTCCACCATCACCAGTTTCCCTGGAATCTTAAAAAACTCGTGCTTAGTACCCAAGGCTCCAGCTTCTGGTCTACTCAATTCATGGGCAAGACCCTTATAAGGCAAAGGAATTTTAACCTAATTTGAATTAAGAGGGAGGGAGTGCTAAGGTGGAGAACACATGCTAAGAGTTCTTCATATGATGAACAAAAATCTTTCCAAACAGCTTTTCTCACTCTCCTACTCTAAAGATGAAATAATCCCTCCACAGGGGCTCACTACTCTGTTTTCCTTTGTACATTCCAGCGAACACCTAAGGAATGATCCTCTTTAAATTCAAGAGATTTCCTTTCTCTCTGATCCCACATTACTTCACACCCTTCTGACTCCCAAGCAGGAGGGTTCCAGGTACAAAGCACACGTATGGCTACACCTAAAAAACGTAGGAGAACATGGTGCAGAGAAGGACGTGCTCTGTGTAGCACCCACAAAAAATAAAGGAAGGAAGACCAAAACCATAATTATCGCCAAGCAGGAAAGACAGAAGTTGATCATTTGATTTTTCACAAAGCCTGTGGTGAAAGCACCGTACCTGGGAGACATGGCCACATTCCATATCCCCAAAAGCACAGACTGGCAATCAGAAGGCCATCAGCACAGCGGCAGTGAACACGCGCTGCACGCACGGGACAGGCCAGGCACCGTGCGAGACGCTGGCCACGGGTTGTCATGTTTGAGGCTGGAAGGCTTTGGATGGTCAAAGGGTAAGTATTTCTAAACTTACCAATGTGCAATCTAAACGAGTATTTCCTTTTTAAGTCGGTGATGGTAGATTTTTCCTCCGGATATCTGTCCGTGTGCAGCAGCTGGTCTGCAGTCTCAATTCCTGTCAGGGACAGGAATTCTTGCACGTTTTTCTCTAACTGCTTATTTTCCTTGACAGAAAACTTGCCAAATCTAATAGTGACACCTAGCATTGGGCGTGGGGAGAAAAAGTACGTAACGTCAACAACAAATAAAAGCAAACACGCTGCTTGGTTTTCCACCAGTGACCGCAGCCCTAGGGCACAGTGCCGGCTGCCTCCCTGCCGGGCAGCAGCCCCTGTTCCCGCACCTGCTGTGGCTCTCGGTCCCCACTGACGGACTCAACCTCTCCTTTGGGGAAAGGGTTCAGCCCAAGCTACACCTCTTCTCCCAATGTCTGCCCTGGTCACCCTATCCCAAAGTGACCTTCCCTGCTTCATCAGTCTCTTTTTAAAATAGTCTTTTAATATTAATAAGTAACATTTATTCATTAAAAACTCAAACAGCATTGAAACGACAGTTTAAAAGAAGCCCCCCTTCACTCCCTTCTGCCACACGCCTCCCCCGAGGCAGGACTCCGACCAGGGTGGCAGGAATGGGGAGATCTGAGTACATTTCCTGTGCATGTGTGTTGTGGGGAGGGTGACAAACGTCAGTGCAGGTTACATTCTCTTCCTCTTCATCACGTTTCATCGTGTAGTGACTGTGTCCTGTGGTACATATTTCTGCTCTTAGGCTTATTTTAAAACTATCTTTTACCAAACACATACTCATAAAAATTTCAACACAATATACCAAAAAATAGGATCATTATATACTGCTCTATAATTGTGTGTGTGTGGTGCTTTTGTCTTTTTTGCTCAATTTGTCTGTTTTCTGAACTAATCTCTTCAACCTGATTAATTCCACAGAGCTAAGACACCTCTTTTCACTTTTTTAAATGGCCAGCAGTATCGGGCCTCACACAGCAGGCAGTAAATACCGCTCATTGATAGCACGCAGCCTTAAATGTGCAGCTTATTCTAAGTCCAGTGAGCTTTCTGGGAGGTTCTTGTAACACTAAAACCAAGGCCACTACAACCAGCTCACCCTCAAATTAATGTGGTGGGGAAGGAAACTATACCTCATTAAAGATGATTTTAATTTGATAGCATTTTAATTTTACTTAACTTCTATATCTTTCTTGGTGTCTCAACCAACTAACCTCCTACTCCTTCTATTCTTCCAGGACTGATATTCTAGTCTGGGGCTTATCTCGTCCCTTCGGCCCCATTCCTCCTTGCCACCTCTACCAGCAGTGGGCAAGATGAGGAAAAACAGTGCACTTCATTTTGCTAATTTTACAACTTGGACAGCAATTCTGGTAGGAGAGGAAGCTGAAAGTAGCTGAAGGGTGCTTCTTGTGAATCTATAAATCCGAATCATTCACAAAAGAAAGTCAGGTGCCAGCTCTGCATACAGGAAGGTTCAACAAATATTAAGATTCTACAAGCTCACCTTGTGCTTTAAATTCTTGAAATCGCCTGAAGTCATCCCGATACATTCGTTTGATCGTAGTGGCGGCCCTTTCCTGTATGTTAGGAATGAATTCTTGGAGCCGCTTCACGGCGGAATCTAAATCCACATCTGAATCACCCGAATCTCTTGAATCTTCATGTAAGTGTTTTGTTTCAGAATCTTTAGCTGATTCTAAATTGCTTTCTTCTTCATTTGCAGTTTCTAACCTAAGGGGGGAAATTGGGTTGACTAACATTAACATATCGTTTGATCTAATAATTTTAAAACTTCAAAAAAAAAATGACTCATTTAGACTACTGGAGTGTTAAAGCTTGATGGGATCTTGGAGTTGATTCAGTCCCTGATTTTCAAACTCTTTATTTAATGTAACTTGATTTATTTAGATATACTTCAGAGGCAGCCTAGAAGGTAAATGTGCAGCCCTAAATCCTATTTCTACCAGTTATTATTTGCTTATACTACTATTTCTCTATTTTTTTTGTTTTAGATATTGACTCCCTAATAAGCCAAACCCTCTTTCATCACCACCAAGACTTAAACACTTCTCCCCCCAGCCCTTCCGACGAGTTAAGTTTTACCATATAATGCCTATTAATTAATGAAATCAACATTCAGAGTTTACGAACTTACAGCTGTTTTGCTACAACTAATGGTCTCATTTTCTCCTGTGCTTAGTTTTCTATCTAACACTAATTCATCCCCAAACTCAAAATCTCCTTAGCGTGTTCACACCTATCAGTTAACCTCTCAGACTGGCAACTGGAAAAACTGCATGTATTTTTCTAAGAAAAGGACCAACAGCTTTAAGAGGGGTTCAGAGGGCCCATAAACCAATGGAAGTTAAGAACCACAGTCTTAGACTATTCCTGCCCCAGGATCAGTGTTCTGAAAATGTCCCCAGTAAGATGGCACAGAAAATGATGAGTGGAACCACAGCTATTATCTGTACCACGTGACATGGGGCCGGCTCACATTTAACTTTTATGTGAAACCATTTTAAGCAAAGACAACCTCACAAATGTAAGAAAGCTATCGAGTAAAACCAGGGAGAAGATCTGTCCCAAGTCCCAGGAACGATGAGATAAAGTGATTTAAAAAAAATCCAAGTTGGTTGAGTGCAGTGGTGTTTACAACTTATTGATAACAACTAGTTACAGATTCCTTTGTTCCTTCTCCACTCCCACTGCTTCACTTGACCAGCCTTAAAAAAAATTAAAATTAAAATAAAAAAATAAAATAAAATAACATCCAGCTAGGCATGCCTGTAATCCCAGCACTTTGGGAGGCCGAGGCAGAAAGATCACCTGAAGCCAGGAGTTTGAGACCAGTCTGGGCAACATCACGAGACCCTGTCTCTACAAAATAAATAAACAAACGAACAAATCAGCCAAGCGTGGTGGCATACACCCGTAGTTCTAGCTATTCGGGAGGATCACTTGAACCCAGGAGTTTGAGGTTACAGTGAGTTATGACCTTGCCACTACACTCCAGCCGGGTAACAGAGCAAGACCCTGTGTCTTAAAAAAAAAAAAACAAAACACCCCATATTTATTCATCAGTTATACTTAAACGATATTTATACAAATAACAATATCTAAGTTTCTTATGTTGGTGAGAACCCTAACTCAAGTGTTGTGCTGTTCTGTAGAGTTCTAAGTATCATCTATCTATGTGCATACAGACAAACAAAGTAATTTGAGGGTTTAAAATGGCTTTTAAACTCAGAGAATTTCGGGGCCAGAATAGCCTTAGTGAAAATCTAACCGAACTGCCTTATTTTATATATGAAGAAATTAGGTCACTTGCCAAGTTTACACAGTTGAGTATGTACCTTATTCTGTACACACCGCAGTCTACCTCTTTATGATTTCCGCCATTTACTATGCACGTGCTAAACAGAGTCGGCGCGGAATCCATACAGGAAACAGCCACCGGCTGGCCCGGCACCCGCGTTACCTGGACACCTCCTCCCCACGCTCGTCGTCCCCACGGGCCTGGCTTTTCCGCTTTCGCCGCCGGGGTCTCCCTCCTCCTCTGAGCAAGGCCCCGTGGCTTTCCCGTGAATCAAAGAGTGTGTTCTCGGCGTTCTGACCGAGCGCGGAAATCTCATCCGCAGACGCCGCGTCGCTTCCGCTTCCGGCAGGAGCGCGCTTCCTTTTCCCGGCCGTTTTCTTCGTGCCCTCGGACGCCTCGAGCCCTGCCAGGGCCGCGCCCGCCTCTCCGGCCGCCCGCGCTCTTTCGGAGCGCTCAGGCCCGGGCAGTGCCTCGAGCTCCTGGTTACTGGCCTTTTTCTTCTTTTTCTTTTTAGACTTGTTTTTCTTAGCAGATGCCGGTGGTTCTGTGATGTTGCCTTCTAGGCCCACCGAAGGCCAGGATGCCTGCTTGTGCGGTTCCGATTGGGGCGGGCGGATGCCCGTGTGCGGGCTTTCCCGTAGGGCGTCACAGGACGCGCCTTTCCTCCGACGGTTTTTATTCTTTTTCTTCCTAACTTTATAGTGCAGTTCTTCTGATTCATTTTCATGTGACTGAGCAACCACGTGCAGTCCGTCCGCTTCAGGCTCTTCTGTTGTGTCTTGTTCTATGCTGGTATCAACATGAACGGCGTCGACACCCGTTTTTGAATTCTTTGGCGTGTTCTTAGTATTTTCTTTATCCACAAAGACATATGCGACGCCTGTTTCCTCGTCTACCCCCAAAGCACTATGTCTTCTCTTTTTCTTCTTTCTGTGTGTACAAATGGCCTTTTCAGTCTCATCACAGATTTCTGATTTTTTCAAAGGAGAAGAAATGAGATGTTGGAAATCCTTTCTCTTCTTTTTACTCTTAGTTATATGAGGCTGTTCACTTACCAGGGAAAAGTCTCTGAAACTTTCATGGGAACGTTTCTGATGTCTTTCCTTATGTACAGAATGCTTTTTCTTTTTCTTGTCAAAAAGTGGAGTGTGGATATCAAATCTGCTCCACTCTCCTTCCATTTTATTCCTGCAGGGAAATGTGACAACAATGGTTTATTTTTACATTTTAAATATAGCCTCAGGGGGAAAAACATAACAGCAAAATGAAATTGTATGACAAATACAAGCCTGCGGTCATGATTATAAATTTTCTATTATATTATTCTAAATATACGGAAGGCTCACTGTAATTCTGTCTGGTCCGACTGCCTTTATGATACAGAAAAGAGTATTAACAGAGAACGCCAGTGTCCTGCGCCACCAGGCCTCTGCCCCCTCACAGCCTCATCTGTGACCTCGCCTTTCCAACTCTTCGCTTCAGCCACACACGCCTTGTTTTGGGTCCTCAAACATGCCACTATCCCTCCCTTGGCTCTCCCTGGAATGTTCTCTACTGCCTTCCCACCCTCCCTGCTTCCTGCCTCTTGCCATCCTGCAGAGCTTGGCTTGAAGATCACTTCTTCGAGCAAACATTCAGTGATCCCTTGGGCTTGGCCCATTCCCCAAATGATACGCTTTCATATTTAAAAAATAAATAATTGTTTAGTCATTTAATGTCTATCTCCTCCACTTAAAAAAAAAAAAGGAAGGTGGTTCGTCCGTCTTGCTCCCCTCTGTTTCCACCATCTAGAAGCCACATCCCAGGACACCATTAAAGTGCAGGCTTCACAAGTGGGCTTCACCGTGGGGGCATCAGGTACCCACTGATCTCAAACTCTTTGGTTGGATATGCCTTGTTAGTGTCCAGTGAAGAATGAAAATTCTGCAATGCACTAGAATAAATTTTCATAAGGCTGTAATGTTAATACTTACATATAGGGCACATGCATTTGGAATTAAAATACAGTAACAGAGACACTTTACAAAAGAGATGGTTAAAAATGTAATTTTGCAAACAAGTCTTGTTCCTCTCCTTGCTCTGTATTGCTTCTGGGTTTCAATTTTTTAGATTTATCTTTGACTAAGTAATACATTAATATGATAAAAAAGCAAAATAATCTCTTCTTTCTTACATAGAAGTTAGCATCTATACATTCTGGTCTGTACTTGCAATTTAACAGTAGATCCTGGAGATCTCCATCAGTGGTCTTTCAAGCCTGAATGCTAAGCACACTTTCTATAGGAGGCACCTAATTTACCCTGGGTAGTAAATAGCAGCTATAAGAATTGTGTTACTTACAACCTCATACTGTCACACACATTAGACAAGAGGTGTTAACCCTCAAAGCTAAGACACCTGCCTGCATTTGCCGCATCCTGTCTCTCCCTCTTGCTGCAACGAAGGAAGTGTCCCTCCTCCTGTCAAAAGCCATTTCCTTCAATGTGTGTGCTGGATCCCAGCCCCCTCCTGCCTTCTCAGAGAGACTGTGAACCATCAAGTACCCCACCTCTCTTCCAGCCTCTCCCTCTGTACTGGCTCCCTTCTAGCAACACTCCAACAGTCTTTAATCTTTTCTTCTTCTTTTAAGAAGCAGAGTCTTCCTCTGTCATCCAGGCTAGAGTACAGTGGCATGCTCATAGCTCACTGCAGCCTCAAACTCCTGGGCTCAAGCAATCCTCCAGCCTCCTCCTGAGTAAGCTAGGACTACAGTCATAAGGCATGATGCCTGGCAAAGTTTTTTTCTTTGGTGGAGACAAGGTCTTGGGATCTTGCTATATTGTCCAGGCTGGCCTGGAACTCTTGGCCTCCCAAAGGGCTGGGATTACAGGAGTGAGCCGCCACGCCCGCCCTTTAATCTCTTCTAACTTAAAAAAAAAAAAAATGCAACCACCACCTAACCCTAAAGTTCCATCCAGCTATTCTCTTTCCTCCCTTCACAGCAACATTTCTTGGTAGAGAAATCGCTCTTTCCATTTCTTCCCCTTCCATCCACTTCTTAACCCACATCCTTGTAGCTTCCCCCCTGCTATTCCACTGAGACTGCTCCAGTAAGAGTGTCTACGACCTTCAAGCCACTAAACTCAACAGACGCTTGTCATGCCCATCTTTCAGGACCTGCTAATAAGAACAAACAGAGCACATGATTCCTATAAACAATCGTTTACAATCCATCAGTTCCTTCTTTTCTGCAAATCACCTCTTAAGTTCCTCCCTCTGGTCTTCTACAACCTTCTAAAGATGTAGTCACCCCCTGCTAAAAACTTTTTATAGTTCCCCCTTTATTCTTAAGATAAAGTCAAAATCCTTACAGACATACAAGGCTGTTCATTTCTTCATGGTCTAGTCTGGTCCATGCCTACCTCTGATTTCTCTCTGGGTTTCAGACACCCTGCCTTCTTTCAGTTCTTAGGATACACTACATTCCTTTTCATCCCAGGGACTTTGCAAAAGCAGCTCCTTGGGCCAGGAACACTCTTCCCTCGCATTACCTTTCTGCCCTTTAACTGATCTAACTATGAAAGTCACTTTCTCAAGAGGGCCTCTCTAATTTCTTAACTGGGTCCCATCTTCCTGTTAAACAGTGTTTCCCAACAACCCAGATGCTTCCTTATTGCACTTTTCGCTGTTGTGATGTCGCAGTCCTCTTAGTTTGGATCTTACCCGCCTTGCTCCTAAATGGTTCCCCAACGAACGGACATGCATTCAACCACACTGATTGGGAGCACACACTTCCCGCCTGCAGGGTACGAGCCCAAGCCTGGTCCCGATTCTCTCGCTGCCTTCGGGGCGCGATGGAGACCCTGCTCTGCTCTGGGGTGGGTGCTCCGGAGCTGACAGGGAGGGAACTAACCAGATCCTCTTATTCCCAAAGACCCCGAGCTCAGTCCCGCTGACATAAGGCCTGGAGCGGCAGCGAAGACAAAGGCGCCGACCTCAGGCCAAAGGCAGAGCTCCCGGAAGATAAAGACAACCATCACCCACCGCTCGACTTTTATATGCGGATTTTAAAAAAACAGGAACAGCCAACAAATGCGCTTTTAACCTACCTTCCGAAACCCTCGCCACCTTTCTTTCAACCCGGAAGTGCTGCCGTTATGGAAGCGGAAGTAGTCACGCGTCGCTTCCGGCCCCTCGGCGTCATGCTGCCATAGCAACACAGCTACCTCCGGACCTTTATCGCAGGCGTAATTGCCTGCCCATTTTGTTCCTGTGGTCTTTGCGGGTGGAGTGGGGTAGAGCGTGTGACGTACTAATTCATGGATGCGTTCAATTTATTCACGTTTTTCTGAGCTCCATCTATGGTCCAGGAGTGATCAACCTGGGAAGACAGATAAACAAATAATCCAAGACAATTTCGGACTATCCTATAAGGAAAATAAAATAGGGTAATGGGATGGAGAGTGACTGGGGACAGTGCCTGCTACTTTAGATGGAAGGGGAGGCCGTTTGAGGAGTGACCTTTGAGCTGAGGTCTAAATGGAAAGGACAAGCAAAAATGTAAGCACAAGAGTGTTCTAGGCTGGAAGCAAGTGCAGGAGCCCTGAACTTGGTCCTGGGGGAACTGAAAGAAGGCCAGAGCTGGAGCACAGTGAATGAAGGGAGAGTGGTGGGAGATGAAGTCGGAGGCAGGCAGGGGCTAACTGGTGCAGAGTCTGATGGACATGAGGCTTGGATGAAGTCTTGAAAGATTAGAGCTAGAAGGTGCCTCGGAGATCTATCCCAATCCTCCCATTTCAACGGTCCTGAGGAGATTTAGTTTATGATTAAAAGTGAAGTTTTAAAAAGACCATCAAGTTGAGGCCATCATATCTACTACCCAAACTTTTAGACTTTTTGGATAATAAACATAATCATGCAGGTAACAAATTTTCTCATTTAATCCTATAATAACCCATCTTATATTTTAGATATCTTTATGAGATATTATTAGCCCCAGCTGTGGATTAAAAAACTGGGCTACGGTAATTTGTCCAAGGTGACTGAAATGGTCCAGCCAGAATTCCAAACTGCTCTTTCCACTACTCTGATATCCTGCCCCTCACTGCACAACTCTGACTTCCTCTGTGTAAGCTGCTAAGTGGCTTTTATGTATTTGTTTGTTTATTTATTTATTTCCAGAGACAGGGTCTTGCTTTGTCACCCAGGCTGGAGTGCAGTGGCATGGTCATAGCTCACTGCAGCCTAAAATTCCTAGGCTCAAGTGATTCTCCTGCCTCAGCCTCCCAAGTAGCTGGGACTACAGGCACGTGCCACCATGACAAGGTCTTACTATATTGCTCATGCTGGTCTGGAACCCCTGGCCTCAAGCATCCTCCTTTCTTGGCCTCCCAAAGTGCTAGGATTACAAGCATGAGCCACCACATCCAGCCCTCAAGTGGCTTTGTTTTAAAAGTGCTCAACCTATACTTCTGTGAAAGTCTGGAAGGGAAACAGACTGGAGAAACAATGAGTGCACATACGCACATGCTTTGCCATACAAGGGCTGTTCCAGGCCTTAGATGAGCACTTGGAACTCTGGTTTGCTCTGTAAAGGTGGTGTTGGTATTGCCCACTGTTGATATGCAAGGCCTTGAGGTCCAGGTTTGTCATCAGTATAAATTGTTCTATAGTGAACCCCCTTACCTAGAGCCTTGTACAAGAGGATATTTTCATGTTTAATGAAGATGATAGGGATGCATGAATGAACCCACAGAGGAACTAGATGAGAGATTAGAGATCATCATTTCGAAAACACTGCACCAGTCACCTGGGAAGATTTTTTTAAAATGCACATTTTCAACTTTGCATATGGATTGCATATTAGATACTATTGTTGTATCACATTAAAATCACCCAGCATGATAGTGGCATTATAGTCATGTGTGCCAATGAGTTATGCGTGAGAATGTCCTTGATACATGATGATGTACTAGGGTTAAATGTGGTATGTTTACAGATATTTTCAAATGATTCTGTAGTGTGCGTGCGTGTGTGTGTTTGTGTGTGTGTGTACATGCTCATAAACTCACAGAGAGAAAGCAAATACAGCAAGTGCTAAGGACTGGTGAATCTAGGTGAATGGGTTTTCATTGCTCCCTTCTTTCAACTTTCAACTTTTCTGTGGGTTTGAACTTTTTCAAAATAAAAAGTTTGGTGGTGGAGCGGGTGGTAAACAGACTGAAAAAATTGCAGAGTCCCAGATGCCATTTCCAGACATTCTGGTTCAGTGAGTCTAGGGGTGGGTCCTGTGAATCTGTGTTTTTCAATTTCCCTCCATTCCGTTGCACAAAGTTGAGTACCATTGATCTAATCCAACTCTAGACTTTCCTTTCCACCCATCTCACAGAAAAATAGCGCGAGGCTCCAGGAGGGTGTCTAGCTTGAGGCCACCCAGTGGATTAGCAGCAATATCAGGCTTGGAATGCGGATTTCTATTTCATCATGAAGAACTTAGCGCTGTATCTCGGAAATGCACATTAAGTGCAGGGAGCAGAGGCGGGGAGGGGCTATGAGTGGAGTAGGGTGGGTGGAGGGATGGTGTCTTTGATTTGAAAGTCAGTATCAGTGGCCCTCTTAGAGCCCCGTCACTTTTAACACAACCCAGTGGCGATTACCTACGTGGATTCAAGAAAACTCTAAACAGGTCCATATTGGTGGCCACCAACAGTTTCATGAAAGAAAAGGACAAGTATAGCCCGGCTCTGTTGGCGTCCCGTCGCCAAGGAGACGGACCGTTCCATTCTTCCGCAAGGGGTGGTCTCGATTTTTTTCCCTCTCCCTCCGCAGCGCGGTGCCCAGAAGACGCTCTGAGGAACTAGTCGGGCTAATATAGAATAGTTTTGGGGCTCCTCGCAGCGCGGGAGCGTCGCGAGGTGGGCGCGCCCTGCTCCGGAGGGCCCGGCACCCGGGGCCCACCCCTGGTTCCCGGTGGTGCGGCCCGGGGCGACCGGCGGGTGCCTCGGATTCCTCGCCTGCCCAACGTGGGGAGGCGGCCGGCAGGCTCCCCGGCGGCCCCCAGGATGCCAGAGGCCAGGAGCTCCGGCCAGGACCTCATGCGATGGAAGAAGAAGCAGCCGGTGCGCCGCACGGTCAGCCAGATCTGCCCGCCCCCGCGGCGGCCCCTGACCCTGGCCGACATCCGGCCGGGCATGGAGAACGAGAGGCTGGGGGTCGTGCGGGACTCCATGTTTCAGAACCCGCTCATCGTCAAGGTGAGCGGCCCACGCGCCCGCCCTCCGGGGGCTCCACCGCCCGGCCCGGCCTCCCCGCCCGGCCGCGTTGGAAGCTCCGGCTGCGGTGCAGACCGGCCCGGACCCCGGTGCAGTCAGGGGCAGGTCGCGTCGCCTCTCTGAGCCTCAGTTTCCTCATCCTCGAAGTGGGCATGATAATGGCACTTATTGAAAGGACGGGTTGGGAGGATCGAACAGGGTTATTTCTGCGGGACCCTGGTACAGCGCCTGACCCTCAGTAAGCCTCGATGTTGGCCGCCGTGGGTTCCCACACTGGAACCCACAGGGGGACAGGTCGCACGCACCCAGCCTGTGTCCTTACTGCCAGCCCTCGCGGGCCGAAGGCCGCCTCTTCCCTTTCCCCTGCGCGCGTGAGCCACTTGTATGCAGCAGGTGCTCTGCGTCTCTCCCGGAAGCGTCACTTCATAAGTTTATTTCCGCCCGATCGTACTCTTTTTGTGCTGTTTATTCAAATCACAACCCTAAGAGAAAAAAGTGCACGTCTCTGACCTGGGAGGCCCCGCAGGCATGCGCGAGGGAGCCGCGCCTTCGGCCAGACCACCTTCCCTTTCGCGGCACACGCGCTCCCTCGCCCGAGTCTCGTTCCCCGCGCGGTGGGAAACCCAAGGCTGGCTGGCACCGCCACGCCTTGCCTGGGGCCACGGAGAGTCAAGCTGAGGCTGGGCGGTCGGGGAGCGGGCCCGGCAGCAAGTTTCCCTGGCGCCGCTGGAGGGCAGTGCGCTTCTAAAAATGCGCTCGGTTCCCGGCGGCGCGCGGTGGGCGGCGCAGGCGGCAGCCAGGGTTCCAACAGCAGTTATTTCTGTGACCGCCAGCCGCTGGTTGGAGCCCAGAGCGGGGGATGGCGGTTTGTTTTTGTTTTTTGGTAAAGAGCACCTGGACTTTCTTAAGACTGTGCTAGAATCAGCTCAGTTCACTGGCTCCTGGGCAAACACTGACGCTCTCCTCTTGCCTTCCTCAAACTGTGTTCCTGCAGAGGAGGGAGGGTACTGCCAGGCAGGGGGCTGCACTTGGGCTAAGCTGGCTGCTCACCCTCGGCACCGTCCACCTGATATGCCTCTTCTTGGTACCCACAAAGTGGAACAAGGTCTTTGACTGACTTCTAGGTGAGAAGAGCTACTCTCAGCCGACAGATGGGTCAGACGGTTGGGGTTCGCTATTCTGGGATGGAGAAGAGAATTACGTCCACCCCCTCTGACCAGCTGCATTAACGTTAGGTCATTGCTTTTGCTCAAGCAGTTACTAGCGGGCCAGCTTCTCCATACTTAAATATAAAGTGAGGACATTGTGGAGTTATTCACTGTAGTGAATTAGCATGTGATGCCCACCCTGAACGATGTGTGTATTTATGGAATATATATGGATATATACACACGTACGTGTATATGCATACAGTGCATATATTATACATACACATAAATTTTACATCTATCCTGTATATGTGTGTATGCGTAAAACATATGTACATACATGTGTCAAATGAAATACATGTACATATGTGTATTTTCCCCCTCTTTTCTTTTTCCTTTTGCTCCCCGCCCCCCCATATCAAGAAGGACAACATTTGGCCTCTGGGTGGCACCAGCTGAACAGCTTCCAGTATGAATTCAATCCCCGATTCCTGAACCCAAGTTTAGGGTTGGAAAATATACAGGAGATGACTGACACACGACTGGGCTCTGTCTTCAGCCGGTGAGATGCAGAGCAGGCCTGCCCTGGCCCCAGGTGACCGGGTGGCAGCATCAGGACCTGTCTCCGGCACCGTGTGGAGATGGAGGCCGGGAGTCTCTTCTGTCAGGGGCAGCCAGGGGGCAGCCTTTCCCTCTGACTTGCCTTCTTGGGTTCTTCAAGGGCCATAAGGTACTTTCTGTAGCAGTTAAGATTATGTCCACATTTCAATATTTACCACCTCCTATAAGATTAGGAAATCTTATAATTTTATAGGTCAAAACCTGACCTAAATAAAATTTGGCAGAGAAATTGAGCATGGAAAGGAACCATGACTGTTCCGTTTTCCAGACCCCCCTCCTTTGCAAATGAGTACGCTAAGGCTGTTTTTGCCCCAGGTCCTGGGTTAGCAGCTACATCGACTGACTCCCAGCCCACCATCATTTTCACCACTCCAAATAGCTTTCTATATTTTAAAGAAAATTTAAATTATGAAAAAACTTAGGGGTTTTTGGTTTTAAAGACAAGGAGAAAATTGAAAGTATTTAAGATTGGGGAGCCTTACAGATTTTTTTAATGTTACAGAAATTTCTGTTGAGCTTGGTTTGTGGATTTCTTCCTTGCGGCATATCAGATTTTCAGATCCTGGGTTGGTGTGCGCCTCCTCGTTGTGGGTGGCAGGGTTTGGGAGGGCCCTCTGCCTGGGGTGTCTTTAGGAAGTTGATTGGAACCCGAAGTATATTTTGGTTTTGTCTAAGCCTGAACATGAAGGTGTGCATCTATACTGGAAAAATATAGCACCCTAGAAATAGTTATTCATTCCACCCTGTTGGGGGGTTGTTGCTCAGATTGTTTTCTCGAGTGGATAGCATCAGCATTTTTTCATTTAAAATGTAGAGACACTGACTGAACAAACACGACACTGGTGTTTCACACCTATGGAATTTACCAGGACATCGACACATCAGTTATTCAAGAACATGTCTGCAAGATGCCACAGTAACCAAGTGAGAAGGGAAACACACAGACATCCAAGCAGGTATTTTATCTACAAATGTGCAACAACTATTTGCCTCATTTAAAACCAAACCAACTGCTTATTTAATGGGAATGATTGAATCAAGTCTGTGTTTCATGAGGCCAGAAAAAGATGTAAATATTTTCCAATAGAAAGAGCTTCTACTCTTGTATAAAGTGATATGTAGGTAGCCAGTTTTCCTTCAAATGTGACTCTCTGGAAAGAATAAAATTAAATAGAGAAGAACCAAGCTTCTTCCCCAGAATTCTGTGACTCAACACAGAATCCTGCTACAATAGCCTTCAAGGCTCCTTCACAAAACCTGTCAGGAGTGCACCTTCCTGCCATCGGAACTCAGCTGATAACCTGTCAATACAATTATAGGGAGAGACTGCTTGGCTTGCTCCTCTGACAGCCTTGAATCTTCTGTCGCCCTGGAGAGGCAGCCGATGTGCAGGGGTGAAATTTATGGAACTGAGCACCCTTAGAAAGTGCAAATGATCATGGCACCCGGTCTTTTCATAATTTATTACTGACTTTGTTTTTCTATGGGGCTTTATGTCACAAATAAGAAGTGCGTACATTTGTACAATAGAGTCGTAGAATCACAGCATTTGGGGGTGGAAGGAAGCTTACAGACAACTAGTCCAGCTCCTTTTTTGAGGGTATTAAGGCCCAAAGAGTGGAAGAGACCGGCCCAAGGTGCTACCCTGAGTTGGTGGCAGAAGAGAGATGAGACTCAGGTCTCCTGACTTCCAGCCCCACACTCTTTTGGCCACAACACACAATTAATTAATCAATCATAGCCCAGACTGGTTATATGCTGTATAGCAGGCAGTCAAAAAAAGTTCACAAATGAATCTGATTCCAATATCATTTCACTCAAGGTTCCTTCCAAAGTGAGCTCTATTGATTTCTCAGGACTTGTCAATAGCCAAGACATATTTATTGAATGTTTACTAAATGCCTAACACCATCGTAAGCTTTCTCAGGGGCATAGAAACAAGTTTAGAATGCAGCGCTTTCTGAGTTTCCAAAGAGTTAACTATTTAATATTTAGCTGGGGAGGTGGGATATATATATATATATGTATGTAGCTAAGCACAGCACCTCCCTTAAAGCGCTCAGGGAATTAGCTCTTATTGTTACACACACACACACACACACACACACACACTCACAAAAAATAAGGCAGGCATTGTCATGGGTCGCCCCATAAGTTCTTAAGTGAGCTGCTCTGCCCAGAAGGGTTCAGATTTGCAGGGAGGGAGCCCTGGGAAGGACTCAGGGGGACCTGGAACTGGACACCGAAGGGTGAAAAAGCAGATTCAGATCAGGGGTGAGGAGAATGGGAGAAAAGCCAGTGCTTTGGGGCTGCATGATTCCACCTTCCTCAGATCCTAAGTATTTGTAGGATTCCACCCCAACTTGAGTCCTAGTTTGTGAGACTCAGCACCACTGCTGGGATCATCATCATTATCATCACGAGGAAGCATTTATTTAGAGCCAGCGTGTTCAAACTGGATGCTCTACAAAATTAGGCAACCACATCATGCCTACTAATAGCTTAACCTCGCTAATAAATACTGATGCCACAAACATCAGTGAGCAGAGACAAATGCAAGGAAGGCAGGCAGACAGAAACACAGTTGTACAAATATCCCCACGTGGGTCAGTATTTTTATTATGTTTGAGTACCGTACGAAAATGGTACACGCAGCTTTATTGTTGGAAGGAATATACCCCTGATTGCTCAAATCCTTTTACATTCGATTACAAAATAATAGAAGCAAATAAAACATTAGGCAGGGATTAAAAAACGAGCTGCCCATCCTAGTGACCCAGTCTTGGCTGCCCAGTGGGTAGGTTTCGTTTTTTTCTAGGGAGCGCTGAAGGTTTATCTATCCTTGCAACCCTCTCTCTTGGTCCTTTTTTCTTTTCTCTTCTCTTTAAATCAAAGCTTCCCCCTTCCAGGGACCCAGTCGCATCCTTCAGTGAGCAGGGCTGACGCAGGGAACTAATCCCCTGCCCAGCCCCGTGGCTACTCCCGCCACCGCCATGGGCTTTTTGCCACCCTGGGGCAGCCACTTGCTTGCTTCGCCAGAGCAGCCCGCCTTCCTCTTTGTCCCCTGAAGAAGGTGTGCTCTGGCTGTGAAGTATTAATGCACATCAGATGTCAGAATTTGGTTTCCCCCTATTGAACTCAGCCCCCGCAGATCACGTGGTTCTCAGAATACTGGGGTGGCGGTGGGTGGCGCCGTGGGAAGGCCATTCCTCC